TTCAGACGAGTTCACCCCAGAACCTCACCTGAAAAGCTGAACAGTCTCTCTTTGCGGCTGCAACCGGGGAGTGCTTTCTTTTGAAAAAGATGGGGCCCTAGTTACCGCATGTGTGTGTAACACACACGTTTACTGGGCACCACTGTATGCCTGGCACCATGGGGGATGGCAAGATGGAATAAAATCAGGCCTCTGTCCTTCAGGGATCCCCCTGGCTAAAGAGGAGGGAGTGAGAGCTGGAATTATTTATTTGGCCTGGGGGAACCCAGTTGGTTCTTCAGAAGTGACTTTCCATCCATTGTAAAGGTAGATAGCTGAGATTCAATGCACATTCACTGTGTGCCCAGCACTGAGCGAAGGGCATTAGATACATGATGGTCTCACTGAGTCCCAGGCAGCAGCCCTGAAGGGTGGAAACCAGGATTATTGCACCCACGTGGCTCCACCAAGGCCACACAGTGGCTTACATGGCACAATCCAGGTCTGCTGGTACTGTTCATTCATTCACCAAATCTGTGTTGGGCTCACACTATAGACCAGGCACTTTCCTACCCTTTGGCACTCTGTTCTCCTGTGTTATGTATGCCAAGGCAGGTCGAGTAGGAGCTGCTCAGATGGAAGGGGCATCCGGGGAGAGGGCACAGCTGGGACAAAGGCATGAAAGCCCAGGATGTGTTCAAAAAAGAGCAGGTCGACTCGGCTCTGGGGGAGACACACTTAACTTCTTAGTTCCATCTCTGCCACGTACCACTGTGTAATTTTAGTCATTTCTTCTCTCTGAGCCTCACATTGTTTCTGCAAAAATAGAAGAAATATTAGTTTTTCCTTCCAGAGCTAGAGAGGATTGAATGAGTTCACAGAGGTGAAGTGGCCTGGCATAGAGCAGGCCTTCAAGAAATGTGGATTGAAATGAATGGAGGAGGCTGGGCGCGGTGGCTCACACTTTGGGAGGCTGAGGCACTTTGAGAGGCTGAGACCATTCAGAGGCAATGATCCAGACGTACCCATGACAGTGTGTGCTGGATCTAGCCTGTCTGGGCCAGAATCCCAGCTCCAAATTTTACTTCCAAATTTGCTGTTCTGTAAAATGTGTACAGGAGCAGTGCCACCTCATTGAAAGTGTCATGAGAACTAAGTGGATCGCTATCGAGAAGTGCCTAGAACTGGGTCCGGGACACAGTAGTGCTTTATAAGTATTGGCTACAATTCTTTTCTTTTCTTTAAAAAAAAATTTTTTTTTTTTGAGACAGAGTCTCACTTGGTTGCCTGGGCTGGAGTGCAGTGGTGCAATCACAGCTCATTGCAGCCTTGACCTCCTAGGCTCAAGCAATCCTTCTGCCTCAGCTGCCCGAGTAGCTAAGACCACAGGTGCTCACCACCATGCCCAGCTACTTTTTTTTCTTTTTTCTTTTGTAGAGATGGGGTCTCACTGTATTGCCCAGACCACATTATTTTTTTCTGATGCTCTTGGCCAAAGGCAGGCACAGATCAAAGGTGGGTTAAGTGAGGCCATGGCTTCAGCATTCACCTTTGTCATCTCCTTGACCCCAGTCCCCAGCTCCAGCTAAGTCCTAGCAAAGGTGGGCCCTTAAGCAGACTGGTGGGCTGGAGGCAGGGATTGGTAGGGGAGGCAGTCACACACAAACACACACTCACTCAAGTTCCACCTGCCTGTACAGGAACCTCGTCTGCTGCAGTGGTGCTGAGGCCCTGAGGGCTCCTTGGGGCCTTTATGGGGTAATTCCATCTCCATTAGGGCTGATTGTATCACTGTAAATACCACGTTTTGGTGCCGCTTTATAAGACTCACTGAAAAACTTTCCTCCTTAGCACCCAGTCACCTAGAGCGGGAAGGACTCTGAGTCGGACAGGAAAAGAAGGAAGGGTGTGTCATTAGATGGGTGACTAAAAGCCAGGGAACGGCCCCCACCCCATACCCTCTTGCTGCCACCTGACATACCACTCCTTTCCATAGGCCTCTGCTCACGTCACACGCTGCAGATGTGCGACACCCTGCCCTATGTTCTCAGCCCTCAACTTGTGCATATAGTGCTGGGCACGTGGCCCACAGCCATCAGGGCCTGCCTGCACCCCACCATGTGCGTGTGCTTGGATCCAACCTTTTGAGGCCACACATGGAAACCCACACTTGTCACCGGAAGGACCGAACAACACTATAACACTACGTACAGAGAGTTTCATGCAACACAGAACTTGCAACACTGTCATTCACTCAGTTCATTATTTAGCGGAGGCTTGCTGAATATCTAGTGTGTATCAGGCACTGACTGTTTTCTTTTTTTTTTTTTTTTTTTAAACTCTCACTCTGTCACCCAGGCTGGAGTGCAGTGCCGCGGTCTTGGCTCCCTGCAACCTCCGCCTCCTGGGTTCAAGCGATTCTCCAGCCTCCACCTCGAGTAGCTGGGATTACAGGCGTGCGCCACCACGCCTGGCTAATTTTTGTATTTTTAGTAGAGATGGGATTTCACCATGATGACAAGCTCGGTCTCGAACTCCTGACCTCAAGTGATCTATCTGCCTTGGCCTCCCAAAGTGCTGGGTTTACAGACATGAGCCACGGTGTCTGGCCCAGGAACTGCCTGTTTTCTACAAACATCCCTGTCCTCCTGCAGTGTGTCCTCTAGTGACACATCTGACAGATGGAGCCTGCAAATGGCATATAACATACATGTACAAGCAGTGGCTTCCACGCAACTCACATGGAGTCTTACACACACCAGTACCCCTAGCTCAGAGGCTCCAATACAACATGCAAAACACTTATCCAAACCACACACTACACACAGGCTCACACTCATCCACACACCCCATGTGCCTGTCCGCAAAGCCCCGGGCACAACACATGCCCGGCTCTCCACGGATGTGGCTTCCTATTGCTGAACTGTGCGTAACCCAGTAACAGCTGAGATTTCATGCGTGCTTTCTGTAGTTCTGGCCCCTGTAGTTTACATGCATGACTTTATTTGATCTTTACAGTAACTCTCCGAAATAGGCTTTACATCTTCCCAGTGAGCAAACTGAGACTCAGAAAAGTGAAATAACTTGTTCAGAAACTCGCGGACTCACTCCACAACTACTGCGAAGTATGGCACACTCACAAATACATACATACACAAATCCACACTCGCATGCACTCATACACAAATCTCTCACACCCACATGCACATTCATACACACATCTAGACACATCCACATAATCCACACATTCAAATACACACTCACACACACTCATACCTAAATCCTCTCATGCCCATGCACACACACTCATACACACATATACCAATTTTTTTTTTTTTTTTTTTTTGGAGACCGAGTCTTGCTGGCCCAGGCTGGAGTGCAGTGGTGCAACCTCAGCTCACTATAATCTCTGCCTCCGGGGTTGAAGTGATTCTCCAGCCTTAGCCTCCTTAGTAGATGGGATTACAGGTGAGTGGCACCACGCCCAGCTAATTTTTTTGTATTTTTAGTAGAGACAGGGTTTCACCATGTTGGCCAGGCATATCTCGAACTCCTGACCTCAAATGATCTGCCTGCCTCGGCCTCCCAAAGTGCTGGGATTACAGGCGTGAGCCACCATGCCTGGTCACATACAACACTTATGTCCATACACACACACACAGTCATACATACATCAACACGCTCATGTCTACACACATGTATGCACATTCAACACAATCTCACACCGTCACACACATGCACTTATTCTCACAGGCACTTGCACACTCACAGGCTCTCAGAGGACCAAGGCTCTCCTATCCTCTTGGTCCAAGGCTTTAATTAACCCCAACACCTGTAATCAACCCTTCCTCTCCTCCTGCAGAAGAGACGTCTGGACCAGCTTCCCAAGAACAGGCACCAAGGCAAGAGGCCAAGATGTCCACATCCAGCAGAGAGGACCCAGGTGCCTGGGTAGCAGGTCCCGGACATGGAAGCAAGGATAGGGTCAGAGAGGAAGAGGTAGGCAAAGGGATCTGGGGCCTCCCAGGAAATCAGGCCTGCCACAGTTGCTCTTCCTAGACTGGTCAAATGGTGATTGGCCAACAGGCAGCCGTGGGTGGCCGGGCAGGCTGGCCAGAGCACATTTGCCGTTTGTTTCACTCACACTAGCCGCTTCTGTCAGGAAGGGAGATGAGCTCATGTCTGAGGAAGTTTTGTGAAGAGGCCTTATCAAGGGGCAGGTGGTAGGCAGGTGTCCTCCAAAGTGTCAAAACCTATCAACCAATCCTGCCATGCCAGGGTTGGGGGCTAGGGGTGCTCTGCACGGCCGCCCCTTCCCCAAAAGGAAGCAGTGGTTCAAGCAGAGACCACCAGGATTCAAATCCTACTTCTACTACCCATGAACTGTACACCCTTTGGGCATGTTGTTTCTGCTCTTGGAGCCTCAGTTTCCTCTTGATGACCCCTGCCTCCCAGATGAGAATGATTAATAAATAAGATAGTGCATGTCTGATCCATTGCCAAAGGAAATGAACGTACTCTTAGATCATAGTAGGCTTAGAGGCTTCTGAATAGAGATACTCTTCTTGACCATTAACAGCTTGGTACACTCTTCAAGGGTTTTAGGAAGGAGGGCATCCGGGTCTATTTCTGGGCCACTCTCCCAGGCCTGCTGCTTAGAAGGCAACTGCTTACTGGACCCCCAATCCATTTCAGCTCAGGCCTTCAGGCCAGCGTTGAGCTCGGTCGCATTGAGCTCAGTCTCAGAGGTGAAGGACAGAATGGGTATGGCTCAGCGCAAAACCATTCCACGTTTGCAACGAGGATCCCAGGCTCAGAGATCCCTGGGGACTAACCCGTAGGGGCGCTGGCGCTTTGAGACGCTCAAATTCTGGAGGGCCTGCGGAGAGCCCGCGAGTCCAGAGGCCCCCAAGGTGCTCCTCCAAACCCCTTCGGACTTCCCCTCCCTCTCCTCCGGGTGCCAGCCCGGCCCCTTTAAAGACATTCCTGAGGGCGTGGCCTCGGTGACGTCACGCGGGGCATGAATGAACAGGAGTCGGTTCTCACCCAACTTCCATTAAGGACTCTGGGCAGGAGGGGCAGAAGTTGCGCGCGGGTTGGCTGGCGGGAGCGGACACACAGGCCGGCGTGCAGGCGTGCGGGTGTGCGGGCGCCGGGCTCGGGGAATCGGATCGAGAGCAAGGAGCGCGGCATGGAGCTCTGGGCAGCCCGCGCCTGCTTGGCCCTGCTGTGGGGCTGTGCGCTGGCCCCGGCCACGGCAGCGCAGGGCAAGGAAGGTGAGTGCGCGCGGCGTCTGGCCCCCTGGCCCCCGGGCCCCAGTGCCCCCCAGGGCCCGGCGCGTCTTCACCCGCGCAACTTTGGAAACCGACCTGGTGCCGCCCAGTCCCGGCGAGCTGGAGTCTGGAGGGCGCACGGGCTGCGATCGAGGCGAGCCCTGGCCCCCAACCGGGGTCATAGGGGCTCCGGAGAATAAGGGGTTTCAACTTGGTCGCACGGGCCTCGGAGGCTGCGGAGAAGAGGACGCGGCGCAGGCCACGCGGTTGCAGTCCAGGCGGCGGCTTTGGGAACGCGTCCCGGCGGGGGGCGTGGGGAGTGCCCTAGAGAAGGGGGTGTTTGGGAGGCTTTCCGCGGACTCAGCTTCTTAGTGACCTGAATTTACTAACCCACTTGCCGGGGTTTTGCGGAGAAGGCATACTGTGCAGGCCTTGCAGTTTGAGGAGGGGGCTCGGGCGGACGGGAGCTCCCTGGCGAAGCCCGTGTTCCCTGAGATTTTCTCCATGCCCCCCTTCACCTCCAGTCCCGGGGGAGAGCGTGGAGGAAGGTTCGGGCCAATCCCTGCTCACACACTCCTTTCCCTCCTTCCCAAGCCGCACTCCCGGGCTCCCGGGGCAGGTTAGGGGCAGCGAGGGCGGACAGGAAGTCCCAAAGTCAAGCGTTCTGAGCAAGGGTGACTCAGAACGAGGAAATGCGGCAGGTGGGGGCGCGGCCTCCCTACGTGTGGAGCTGTCAGCCCAGGGCCACCAGGGAGTCAGGACACCCGGGGGTGGGGGACTGAATCATCCACCCCCGCCCCAGTGTTCCCGGAGCCGCGCAGGGTGAGGGGCCGAAGACTTTGCTCATGGCGCGGCGGGTGTGTAGTGGGGGTGTTGTCCCTCCGCTAAGGTCGCGGTGAGGATGGGGGCTCCTGCCCTGGCCGAGGACCTTCCTGTCCACCCAGCCGAGGCCAGCTTCAATTTCCAACAGTGAGGGCAAGGTTTCCCCGCCTGCCTGGGCAGAGCGAGGTTTCCGCAGGCTCCACAAGGGGAAGCGGGTGAGAAGTTCCCTTTTTTTTTTTTTTTTTTGAGACGGAGTTTCGCTCTTGTCGCCCAGACTGCAGACTGGAGTGCAGTGGGGCAGTCTCGGCTCACTGCAACCTCCACCTCCCGGGTTCAAGCGATTCTCCTGTCTCAGCCTCCTGAGTAGCTGGGATTACAGGCGCCCGCCACCACACCCGGCTAATTTTTGTGTTTTTTAGTAGAGACAAGGTTTCACCATGTTGGCCAGGCTGATCCTGAACTCCTGACCTCAGGTGATCCACCCGCCTCGGCCTCCCAAAGTGCTGGGATTATAGGCATGAGCCACTGTGCCCGGCCTGTTTCCTTCTTTTTCTGCCTCCCAAACTGGGTTTGAAGGTTTTGCTGTTCCGTGTTGGGAGAAAAAGAGGCCAGATCTGGAGCCGTTGTGCAGTGGCAGGTGTTGGCGGTGGCATCCTGTCTCAGTCTCTGGAGTGACAGGACCCGGGTCTCAACTGGGACCTCTGGTTGCAGGAGGCGCTCATGGTAGGGATTTCTGCCACCCTCAATATCCGCCCCACCAACGTTTGGTCCTCCCCCTTCCTGAGGGACTGTGGTTGGAGAGAAGGGGAGAGACAGCTGGAATCACTACAGGCCTTTCTCCTCGGCTGCCCATGGGGAGTGGGGGATTAGGCGGGTGCTTTGCTGCTGCAGCCCCGAGCTGGCCTGGAAGCCTGGAGCTGCCTTGTTCTTGTCCCCTGTGTCCACCTCTCCCCAGCCTGTGGTTAAACCCCACCCCCACACCCCGTGGGGTGCACGAGGAAAGGCTTGTGTATTGCACTGGGGTAGGGGTACATTTTTGCTTCGACTCTGAGTCCCCATGAGAGACTCCCTAGAGAAGTGTGCCTAGGTGGGCGTGGGCATGATGGCCCAGCTGGCAGCTGCTGGTTTCAGTTCCTGGGAACCAGGCTGGATGCGTTGTGACGGCCTGGGGTGGCTTAGGGGGCAGGCAGGAGGACACAGGTGCCTTTTTCACCTACCCTCAGGCTGCTTTGGACTTCTTTCTTGCCCCCTTGCCTCTAGGCTGTACTTGGTTGCCCACGTGGCTCCTGTTAGGTCGTCAACAGCTACTGAATCTGCCCTCTTTTTTACAAATGGGGAAACTGAGGGAGGCCCAAGTCCTTGCCAACCAGGGACCTCTGAACAGAGGACCAGACCTGAGCATCCCGCTTCTCGGCTGCTGGAGCCAAGGCCCTGCCTGCCTTATGGTTGGTGTCATGGTAGATTTCCTGGCATAGCTGGGCAGAGGCCTGGGCGGGTGGCAGGGGGTGCTGAGCTGGGGTGCTGCTGATGGGAAGAGGGCTGGAGAGTGCCAGAAAGTCCCTGGTTTCTGGTTCTGCTGGGGCCCAGTCTGCCCTCTGTTCCCTTCCCCTTTTCTTTCATGTTTTTCCTGGAGCGCCCACCTCCCCACTTCCTATAGGGCTCAGCTAGTCTTGGTTAGAGAGGAATGGGGGGAGCAGGGAGGGAACCACAGGGCAGTGGGTGGTAGTCCTGCATTTGTGGAGGAAACTGTGGAGCAATGTGGACCCACAAAGATGGCACTTACGATGGAACTCATGGCAAAGAAGGAGGTGTTTTTTGCTTTTTTTTTCCCCACAGAAATGGGAAGGTAAGGGGATAGAGGGCTCATGGATAAGCCCTGCTTAGCCTAAGCCTCTCCAGGAAGCCGTCTGGGGCAGCTGAGGGGCTCCCAGGCTCCCACCCTTTCCAGGGAAGTGGGAGCCTCTGTCCCTGGAAGAACCTGGGGAAAGAGCCGCGCCCGCGTCAGGGCGGAGGGACCCAGCGCTGGGCGCCTCCTGTTCCTGGTGGTTGGTTTGAGGGAATTTCCCTGGGAGGGGGCCGGGGTTGGAAACCCGGGGCTGGGGGGAGGCTTCTTCCTGCGTGAGGGCTTCTTTTCTTCTCTGATTGAGCCCTGTGCTACTTCTAGAGCCAGGCCTAGGCTGGAAAGAGAGGGCCCTCCATGCCAGGTTAACCCTTCAGAAGCCTGGTAGCAGTGAGCCCTCTCACTTGGGCACAGACCTCAGCCTCCTGTCAATCTGAGGGGGGGCTGCAGGACTGTGAGGAACCTTTGTCCTACCCACCCAGCTGAAATCAGGAGCCTCCAGATTCCTTCCTGTGTAGCTGGAACATTCCATTTGCTAGTGGGGTTAGTAAGTTTCAAAGCCCCGGCCCTGGGCATGTCTGAACAAATCCCTGCCCCTGCCCACCTCGCTGCCCCCAGCCACCCTCCTCTATCCCAACAGCCTCTGCCATGGGGCCGGTGCCACATTGGATTTCCTCTTGCCTGTCTGGGCTGCCTGACCCTTCTTAGAGCGGTCTAGCCCAGGTCAGTAGTGGGGGTGGCAGCATTTCACGCCCCAGCCTGGGGCCTTCAGCCCAGGTAGGAGGGTCATGTCACTTCAGGAAGGGGTTTCCAAGACCACCCTCAGAGCCCAGCTCCCATCTCCCCAAACCAGTCCATCCCTGCTCCCAGCCTGCCTGGAGCTCTGTCCACCCTTTGAGTCCTTCTCCGGTGCTGGCCTTGAGGAATGGGGCTTCTGAGGCAGATCCCTCATGCTCCAGGGCCCAAAGGAAGCATTGACTTGGTTTCTTTACCCCCACCTTAGGGCTTTACCTTCTGAATCCATCTTGCATGGGTTCTGTGCCTCAGTTTTTCCATCTCCTTACCCTCTAGGGAGGGCAGCACTTATTGGCAGCTACCTGGACTTTACTTGGAAATGGAGCGGGGGCAGTACCTAGGGTCTTAGGTTTTGGCTATGGCCTCTGAGCCTGGCAGAGAACCTGGGGTGGATCAGTGGGAGGTGCCCAAGGGCAGGACTGGTCTAGGGAAGCCCCTGGGAGTGCATCCCTCCGCCAGGCTCCAGTTGCCTCTCTGGGAACAGGATGGTCCTAACACCTGGCCCCTCTGGGCCTAGCCTAGAATGTCCCCTACAAGGGCTTTCATGCCTCATTCCCCAGGAAACTCTGGCACCCCTGGCAGGGCAGTGGTCAGGATGTGAGGGGCAGGGGTGGTGGGAGTGACTTTCCCAGGGAGGGAACCTCACCAGCTGTGTGTATCTTTGGGCCCCTCTTAGGGGCCGTATGGGTTCAGGGATTTATCCTGCCTGCTCTGTGGCTTTTGTGGTGAGAAGATCGGTTTCCAGATACCCCCTTCCCTCCTCCACCCTGGAGCTGTTCCCACCTGTTAACAGGACTCTCTTCTTGGAGTGCCACAAGATGCACGTGTACATATAGGTGCATATGTGTGTGCCACGTGACCTGAGTGGGCTTGGTGTGTTTCCTGCTGGGAGGAATGTGGCAGAAGCAGACACCAGTGTCCCCAAGGCCCACATGCATGTGAAGTGCTGCCGAAGGGCCTTGTTCAAGGAAGCAGACGGGGCGGTGTGGTGTCATTTAATACCCTGCTCAGTCAAGCTCTCTGCCCAGCTGCTGTTCTCCTGCTGAGCTGAGCTCCCTGGCCTGCTCTGCCCAGCTGGGAACTAGCAGAGGAGGGCAGCATGGCTGGAATCCTGGCCTGGGAGACAAGAGGTCCAGTCCTGACCCCAACCTGCTGTGTGGCTTCAGCTGGGTTCCATCCCTTTTCTGGGCCTGTTTCCCTCATGAGTCAAGGGATGGTTTTCTTGGATATGGTGACCCTGTGTGGTGGGGTCTCTCTCTCTCTGTCTAAGAGTTGGGGTTCCTGGAGGGATCCTCACCTTTTCTGCCATGGTCTGACTCCTGAAGACACCCCCAGGCTCACCCCCTCTCCCTTCTCTCTTTCAGTGGTACTGTTGGACTTTGCTGCAGCTGGAGGGGAGCTTGGCTGGCTCACACACCCGTATGGCAAAGGGGTACGTAAGCCTTCGGGGTGGGGAGGGGTGTGGGAATGGAGCTGCTGGTCCCCTATAGAGATGGAGAAACTGAGGCCCAGGGAGCATGGGGCATGGCTTCAATTCAGTAGCTCAGCCAGGTCTCGGGCTCAGGGTCCAGCTTCTCACACCAGACTCAGAGGCAGCTGGCCCAGGCCAGGGGTGGATGGGCATGGGAAGGTACTGGGGGCGGTGGGTGTAAGCCTGAAAGGTGGGGGGAACTGGGGAGACAGAGAAGGCCCTAGTGGAGCTGGGCCTTCCATGTTCCAGAAAGGCTGACAGTCAGAGGGATCTCTAACATCCCCCATCCACCTCTTGGGAGGGAAGGGGTTAAAGGTATCCCCTGTCTTGAGATCTCAGCCCAGGAGGTGAGAGGTGAAGAAGAGACAGGGAACAGGAAAACCTGATCAAGTTCCTTCCTGCCTGCCCCTTTCCCACCTCCAGCTGTTGCTTCCCCTTCCTATAGGGGGCTGCATTTCTCTGCCTCATTCTCACCCAGGTCTTCCCCTCTATGCTGTCCTGATGTGACCAGGAATGGGGGCAGGGACTGGAGGCTTTTCCCCCCAGCTGTGTGTGTCTGCTGTGTGATCTTGGGGAAGATGCTGCGGCTCTTGGAGCCTCAGTTTCCCTCTCTATACAGTGGGCCCTTGCTGAGTTTGTCCTGGGGCCCTGAGCTGAGAGAGGGGACTGTCTCCCAGGGGCTACTTGGAATAGTCCCCACAGCTGGCCAGATCTGCATGAGTCAGGTTCTTGTCCCTAGTCACCCTAGCTCTGGGCAGGCTTGGCTGGGGTGTAGCCCTGAGCAGGTTCCTAGGATCCTGGAAGTCTATCTGGGAGGGAACATGGGTCACCTAATACAACCCAGGCATTATACAGAGTGGGAAACTGAGGCCCAAGGGCATGTAGGGCCTTGGCCAATGTCCCACAGTATACTGGGCCTCTCTCCTCCTCCCCTGTGCTTTCATCCATTCTTTTGTTCATTCATTCAACAAACGCTTCCCTGAGCACCTACTCTGTCTCAGGCAGGCTCTAGGGACACAGGTGAATTAGATGCAGACCCTGGCCAAGGAGCTCAGAATCTGGTCTGGGAGCCCAGATGTTGGTGTCCCCATGTGGCGTACCAAGTGCACCTTGGTAAATGGCAAGGGGTACAGGGCAAGGGGAACATGGGCAACTGTGGGAGCTGGGTGGCAGGGAGCACTTGGCCCAACTGTGGCTTAACCTGGGAATTCTTTCCAGAGAAGGCTGAGTTGTGATCCAGGGAGGGAGGAACGTGTTGATCTGCTCCAAAGCCAGATTCTAAATGATGGAGAGGATCATCTGTTGTTTTTGACTTAATGCCACTCCTGTGCTTGTCAACACACATGCGTGTGCGTTGAATAATACTAACGGTAACAATAATCATACTATCTGCCCATATGCCTATTACCTTGTGCCAAGCACTGTGCTTGGCCAGTGTAGATATTCTGTCCTCTATCCTCACAGCAATTCCGCGAGGTAGGGGGTCTTGCTCCCATTGTATAGATGAGGAAATTGCGGCTTAGAGAGCATAACCCACCTGAGGTCACATGGAGCCCCGGACTCCACCCTCAGGCTCACAGTCTAATAGAGAGGTTCAGCTTCCAGACACGTGTGAGAGAGACCAGGGGCCAGATTCTGGCTCTGCCACTTATGGATACATCCCCTACCTGCCCCAGGCCTCAGTTTCCTTCACTTTAGAACCGGGAGAGCACGTACCAGAAAGTGTCTTCCTAGTGCCCCGCTGTGCCACCTGGGCCTCAGTTTCCCTAGGCGCCTGCGCACGCTAACCTGTGTCTTCCCCTCACAGTGGGACCTGATGCAAAACATCATGAATGACATGCCGATCTACATGTACTCCGTGTGCAACGTGATGTCTGGTGACCAGGACAACTGGCTCCGCACCAACTGGGTGTACCGAGGAGAGGCCGAGCGCATCTTTATTGAACTCAAGTTTACTGTGCGCGACTGCAACAGCTTCCCTGGCGGCGCCAGCTCTTGCAAGGAGACTTTCAACCTCTACTATGCCGAGTCGGACCTGGACTATGGCACCAACTTCCAGAAGCGCCTGTTCACCAAGATTGACACCATTGCGCCCGATGAGATCACCGTCAGCAGCGACTTCGAGGCACGCCACGTGAAACTGAACGTGGAGGAGCGCTCCGTGGGGCCGCTCACTCGCAAAGGCTTCTACCTGGCCTTCCAGGATATCGGTGCCTGTGTGGCGCTGCTCTCCGTCCGTGTCTACTACAAGAAATGCCCCGAGCTGCTGCAGAGCCTGGCCCGCTTTCCTGAGACCATCGCTGGCTCTGATGCACCCTCCTTGGCCACTGTGGCCGGCACCTGTGTGGACCATGCTGTGGTGCCACCAGGGGGTGAAGAGCCCCGTATGCACTGCGCAGTGGATGGCGAGTGGCTGGTGCCCATTGGACAGTGCCTGTGCCAGGCAGGCTACGAGAAAGTGGAGGATGCCTGCCAGGGTGAGTGACGGTTCTGGTGGCAGGGAAGGGGTTCTGGAGTGACAGGTTGCATTCCCAGGTTCTGGTCTTTAGCTTTGGAATCGTGGGATCTTGGTAGGCTCATCCCTGCTTTGACACACATTAGTTCTGTTAGTGGAAATTATAGATCCCTCCCAGACATCAGTTTCCTTATTAAGGCTGGATTAACTCATTCGTTAAGAATGAATGAATTGTGGCTGGGCGCGGTGGCTCATGCCTGTAATCCCAGCACTTTGGGAGGCTGAGGTGGGTGGATCACTTAAGCCCAGGAGTTTAAGACCAGCCTGGGCAACATAGTGAAACCCTGTCTCTACTAAAAACACAAAAATTAGCCGGGTGTGGTGGCATGCACCTGTAATCCCAGCTACTTGTGAGGCTGAAGCACGAGAATCAATTGCTTGAACCCGGGAGGTGGAGGATGCAGTGAGCTGAGATCGCACCACTGTTCTCCAGCCTGGGGTGACAGAGTGAGACTCTTGTCTGAAAAAAAAAAAAGAATGAATGAGTTGAGAAACAGTAGAATGTGGATTTTATGACTGTTGACTCTAGAACAAGAATGGCTATGTTCAAATCCCAGGTCTACGTTTTTAGCTGTGTGGCTTTAGGCCATTTCCTTGACCTCTCTGTGCCTGAGTTTCCTCATCTGTAAAATGGAGATGATCATAGTGTCTATCTCGTAGGGTGGCTGTGATAATCAAATGACTTAATAGTAAAGCGCTTAGGTCAGTGCCTGCCATGTAAGTACTTTTAAATGTGGCTGTTATTTTTGATTCATTCCACGAATGTATACTAAGTAGCTCCTGTACAGCGGCACTGTGGTCCCATGGTGGAGTACCAGGAGCGAGTTCCATGTCTGTTATCAACTCACTATGTGGCCTTAAGCAAGGTACTTAGCCTCAACCTCCTCTTTTGTACATAGAAGTGACTGAGTCTGACCCGGGGTGCACATCTCCTGGCTGCATTTCAGGATCACCAGTGGAGCTTTTGGGAAATGCTTTTGTTGAGGGAGAGGTTGGAGGGGGGCCAAGGGTCTGCCTTTCTTGTCTGAATCTCCCCAGGGCCACAAACTTCCCACTGGGGCCTCTATTGATTTTCCATTGGGGCCTCTATAGATGACACACTGGGCCCAGAAAAGGGCCAATTAAATCAGACTCTCCTTGGGGAATGAGGCTTGGGCATTAGTGAGTTCCCATGGAGGAAGCTGTGGTGTGGTGTGGCCAGGGCCAGTGACAGCGGAAATCTCCACAGCAATGTGGATTTTCAATGGGTGAGTTTTTCTGGAAATTGCCATGAGGCAGAGCATTTGTGGAATGCAGGCGGACCTTTGGAGGGCTGGCTCATCCCCTCTCTCTGGCATCTTCTTTGCTGAGATAAGCGGGACGTTAAGGAATTGGAGGTTTAGTGGCTGTGATGCACACACCTTGGCTAAATCCCCCCTCATCTCTGGCCTTGGGTTTCCTTTGAGTCAAATGAGAAAGTTCAACAGCACCAGCAGACTTTATGCTTGTTTTCTAGCCATAGATCCCACAGCCCCTGGAGGGGGTTGAAGGGTTGGAGGACCCTGAAGCCCTTTGTGATAGGCCCCACTTGCCTCCCAAAGCAAGTCCTCAGAACCTTACTTAACACGGTCTGTAAGCCCCAGATGAGAAGTTCCCTACGAGCCTTTCTGGCCATAAGCCTGTGGTGTAGGCTCTGCTCCGGCCCATCCCATTGCCCCCTTGTCTTCCCAGCTCCCCTCTGCTGAGTGAGCCCCCCTTCCCCAAGTGGCCCCTGCTTTTGGTGACCTCGAATGCACACTCCCAGTTTCAGACAATGACTGCGGGTTGGGGGGGCCCAGGATGAGGCAGCCCAGTGGGGCGAGCAGGCTCCTCCTACATGACATCCTCGCACAAGAATGCGGGGGTGGGGGTGAGGGGCAGCTGAAAACTTTCCACAGGCTGGTGAGACAGGCCCCATAGAGATAAGCGGACGGTTGGGGTGGGGGTGTCTCTCCAGGAAGGGGGGCAACCTTCCCTCCTCTAGAGGTGGGGGGTCGGGGTTCTGGCAGATTTTGTTTGCAGGGAGCCGAGCAGCCCCCTGTTGGAAGATCAGCCCAGCAGGAGGACAAGTTTCCAAGAGCGAAATTTCCTACTTAGTTGGTGGGACCCTGTCAGTCGCTAGTCACCTATTGCCGGATTGTTCCTCCTCAGGCTCCTCCCACCAAAATTCCTTTCAGTGTGGATGGGTGCCGGTGCGTGAGATGCCAGGAACACCCAGCTGGCTCCTCTTTATGCCTCTAGACTTTTCTCAGCAGCCCCTGGCCATGCTGCTGCGGGAAGTGATGACAGTCGCTACCGCAGACAGGAGCCGTCGGAGGGGCAGGCGCTGAGCCAAGCAAGCACTTTATCAGACGTGCGAGTGGAATCCACACTGCCTTTCTGTGCGGCAGGGACTGTGATCAATCCCATTTGATAGATGAGGAAACTGAGGTTCAGAGAGGTAAAGAGGCTTGCCCAAAGTCACACAGCTAGGATGTGGCTGCATCAGGATCTGAATCCAGGCAGCGCAGCGGTGCCCAGGCTGCAGGATGCGTCAGGAAACGGGGCGGGAAGTGACCAGTTCCTTTGGAATCCCTGACTCAGCTCCTGGCCCTGGGGCAGGCTCTCTGGCCAGTCCTGGGGATGGCAGGGTCTGTTGCAGGGGCTTGGGGGCTCTGTTGGAGGCAGGGGTCCTGGAGAGGGCACTGCTGGGCACATTGAGGGAGAACCAGAGGGAGGCACAGGGTCTGCCCTCCCTGCCGGACCCTCCCCAGGCCTGGAGACCCAGATTCTTTCACTGGGGCTCCTCCTGGTGACAAACCAGACCCAGAGCAAGGCGGGGCACCCTGAGGTCACCTGACACCTTGTCTAGGTTATTCCCAGCTTGTCCGTTTCTCCTCAGGGTTCTTTCCCCAGGAAGCCTGGAGCTCAGGAAAGAGTTAAGTGGACAGAGGAAGGGAGGCACCTCCCAGGTGCTGTGTGCGGCAGGTGGGCACGCTGCCCGGAGCACTCCCGTGAACTATGTCAGGAATGAGCCAGCTTCCCTTGGTTCCCCCTCCCCGCCTCTGGCCCTGCCTGTGGGACGGACAGTGGAGTCACTCGGGCTGACCGCTGTCCCTGGGGGCTGCTTTGTCTCTCTGTCTCCGCTTCCTGTGCTGGCTTCAGCAGCTGAACTGGCGGGGCCCCTGCTGGTGCCTCAGCCCTGGGGACCGCTGGCCAGGTGAGCAGGTGGCCAGCGGTCTTGGCCAGCAGCTCAGCTGAACAGCTGGGAGGCCAGAGCTGGGGTTGTGGGGGGTTGGAGATTCCCTCCTGAGAGGCTCCTGCTCCCTCAAGGGGCCCAGCCCCTTGGGGATGTCCCCTCCCTACTGTTTCACGATTCCCCAGTTCATAGGGACGCCCCATTCCAGGCACCATGTTGGACATCTCATAATCAGGGCTTTCTTCTTTCTTCACACACAACCCGGAGAGGATGAGGACTTGATCCCCATTTTACAGATGAGGAAACTGAGGTCCAGAGAGGAAGCAGTGAACAGTCACCAAAAGAACGGGGGCCTGGCACAGGAAGGCAGTTGCCCCTGATGTGTGTCCTTCCACCCACAGGCTGTATGACCATAGCAGGTCCCCTCGGGTCCCACCCCAATCTGTAAAATGAGTGGGCTGGACCTGTGGCCCTGAAGGACGCTGCCAACCTGGTGATCCGAGCTTCCCTCCTGTGGTTTCCCACTGGGGCTCAGTCTGAACCCCGGGGAAGCTGTTGACTGTGTGACTCAAGTGTGGTGAGGAGAGGTCCCACTGCTTGCAGTCCAAGTGGCCTAAGGTCCACAGCTGACAGGGAGGAGCCCCTGGCCAGGGTATGGCTCTGGTGAAGGCGGTCTTTAGACAGGGTGGTCTCGGGCTGTGGCAGGGGCTATGGCAGGATTCCTGTTTCATCACATCATGGGTGGTTCCCCAGGTGGGGTACTCTGGGAGCTGCTGACTGTGGCTCGCAGGCTTGTCCCCTCCTTGGGAAGTCCCACTGGGCCTTATTTCTGTAATGTTTCTTCTGGCCTACAGAGGTGGGACCATGGTGGCATCACCCCCAGTCCCCCGTGGTATCTCTCACCTCTGTGCCCTGTCTGCCCCACCCTCAGCTCACACTGGGGGCAAAGCTAGGTGCTGGCAGCTCTGCTGGGCGGGCACCGGCTTCTCCCTCCCTCTCACCCTCCCTTTCTCCCTCCTGGAATAAGTGGGTCGCCAGAACGGAAGGAAGGAGGCGAGGGAAAGCAAACAGAAGATGAAAGGCTGGTGGCAGGACGGGAGCAGGAGGCGGGGACTGAGGTGGGGAGCGGGGGCTGGGGTGGGGAGCGGTGCTTATCAATGGTGGAGGAATGTGCCTGCAGATAGCTCCTTAGGGTGTGTGTGAAAGGGACAGGGTGCTGGCAGCCATCGGGCCCTGGGGGCAGCCCCCCTTCTGCAGGGACGACAGGGCCTGCTGGGAACAAGAAGCCACCAGGGTCTGAGGCTGTCAGCTCCCTTATTTGCTGGGTCAGTAACCCATAGGTCGCCATTTGCCGTCTGTCAGGGCCCAGAGACAAAGTCCAAGCTCCACATCCTTGGGCCAAGGTGGTTCCTGCGGTCGCCTGCTGGGCCGGGCTTGGGCGGTGACTAGCCCTAGGTGAATTGCCACCATGACCTCTTGACCTCACAACCTTGCTACTGCCAGCCTGGGAGGTGGCTGTGCCTTGGGATGAGGGGCTTCACTAGGGGCTGGACTTGCGTCACAATAAGGGCGTCTGTCCCTGAGTCACCTCATGCTGCCACCTGAGGGGCGGGCATCAGGAACTGGAAAAACCAGGGTATAACCGGAGGTGTAGCCACTGTGCCCCAGTTCCCCTGCTCGGAGTGGCCCAGGCCTGCCAGACAACCGGGGCCAGAACAGCGCTCCACAGGTGTGCCACAGGTGTGCCAAAGTTAGGCTCTTGTGCAAGGCAGGTAGGCATCCTGGTGGACCTTCTCCACAGTGTCTCTCTGGGCGCTGAAACACTGCTCACTTCTCTGGCCCTGGAGTGCATATTTCATGTGTACATGGTAGGTTTGCCACCCATTCTCTCTCCCACTCACTCTTCCATCCACCATCCATCCACCCATCCATCCATCCATCATCCATCCATTCACTCATCTACCTGGCAACCCACCAAACTACCCATCCACTTGTCCATTCATCTGTCCATCCTCCACATCCATCCATCCATCTGTCCACCTCTCCACCCATCCATCCATCCTTCCATCCACCCACCCACTCATCCACCCGTCCACCCACCAACCCAAACATCCACTTGTCCGTTCATCTGTCCATTCATCCACCCACTCATACCCTCTCCACCCATTCGTCCATTCATCCACCTATCCATTCATCCATCCATCCATTCATCCACCTATCCATCCATCCATCCATCCATCCATCCATCCATCCATTCATCCATTCATCCATCCATCCATCCGTCTGTCCTTCCATTCAGCAAACAGTAACTGAGCACCACTGGGCCATGGGATACAGATAAACTGGTCTCCATTCCTGCTCCTCAGGAGCTGCCACTCTCACAGAAGCTCCTGATACATGCAGGAATAATTTCTTTTTTTTTTTTTTTTTTTTGAGACGGAGTTTCGCTCTGTCACCCAGGCTGGAGTGCAGTGGCCGGATCTCAGCTCACTGCAAGCTCCGCCTCCCGGGTTTACGCCATTCTCCTGCCTCAGCCTCCCGAGTAGCCGGGACTACAGGCGCCCGCCACCGCGCCCGGCTAGTTTTTTGTATTTTTTAGTAGAGACGGGGTTTCACCATGTTAGCCAGGATGGTCTCGATCTCCTGACCTCGTGATCCGCCCGTCTCGGCCTCCCAAAGTGCAGGGATTACAGGCTTGAGCCACCGCGCCCGGCCATGCAGGAATAATTTCTAATGGAGCATGAAAGCCAAGTTATGAATTCCCCTGGAGCTGAAACGGTGTTTATCTGTCTCACCATCATATCCTAGCACCCAACATTGTGCCAGACACATATGAAGTGCACATTTCTATTTGGTAAACATAAGATTAATAGATGCCCTAATGGGGGCCAGGGGGGCCAGGAATTGGGCAGTCTGGGAGGGCTGTGTAGAGGAGCTTAAGCTGGGTATTAAAGGATGCATAGGAGTTTGCTGGTTGGCTAAGGAACAGTAGGTATTTGCTGTATGTGGGTGTGTTTGAGTGTGTGTGACCCCTGTCCCCACTTGCCCGCCCAGAATGCCAGGAAATCCAACTAGATAAAGTCAGGAAGAACACAGGGGCTTGCTGGTGTCCTACTCATGAACTCTGGGACCCCTGAGTACTTGGAAACTCTGGCGGGGTCCTGGAGACAGTCCCTGGTAGCTCTGTGGTTGGAGGAGGGGAAGCACATCTCGTCGGGCAGGCACATGCCCTGTTGAAGCTGCCTCTCCACTGTATTATCTGGCACATCCGCAGCGGAAATCTCTCCAAATTCCCTCTTTCCTGGCGGCAGCAGGCAAGCCACCCCCGGGCGCTGGGGCCAAAGAGCCCGTCTCTTCCCCCACTTCCTCCTCTTGGCATAGGAGCAGCCGCACAGTGGGGAGTGGGGGCATTGTGAGGGTTTGCTAAAGCCTTCAGTGGGTCCGAGCCTGGGCTGTGGGGGTTTATGGCCCCTGCCTGGCCTGAGAGCCTGAGCTGGGAACGCCCCCGAGCTTCCCAAGTCTGCTGGCCCTGGACCACCTGGAGCCAGCACTTAGCCAGGTGAAGTCTCCTCAGCAGACAAGTCAGGGCATTTGGGGGAATTGAAACCCCAGGATAAACATGGCCCGGCTTTCTGGAGTCTCAGTTTTGCTCAAAGATCTGGAGGAGGAGAGAGCTATTTTTGTATCATGCAGATACGTTATGGGGAGGGATGCAATATACTCATGGGTTTCCAAATACAATAGGAGACTTGAAAGACATTTGGGGCTTGAAGAAGACCATTTTAGCCACCCAATCAACCCCCTGGGCTGGATTCCACACTTCTCTGCTCACAGACACAAAAGTGCCCAGATCTGTGGTGGGCAATGCCCTCCCCCTCCCTCCACAACACAGAGACCCACAGCTGCTCTGAAATTAGTCGGGAGCGTCTGGCTTTTGAAGTGCGTCAGGCCTTATCTCCTGTCTCTTTAGGCTTGTTTCAGAATGTTGATTGCTCTTTGCCCCAAATTGAAGTGTTCCTAAGAACAGAAGTGGGAAAAGAGGCCCAGTGCGGTGGCTCACACCTGTAATCCCAGCACTTTGGGAAGCCGAGACGGGTGAATCACTTGAGGCCAGGAGTTTGAGACCGGCCTGCATCTCTACTAAAAATACAAACGTTAACCAGGCGTGATGGCGGGTGCCTGTAGTTCCAGCTACTCAGGAGGCTGAGGCAGGAGAATTGCTTGAACCCAGGAGGCAGAGGTTGCAGTGACCTGAGATCCCACCACTGCACTCCAGCCTGGGCAACAGAGGAGACTGCATCTCAAAAACAAAAAAAGAAAAAAGAAAAGAAAAAAAAAAAGAAAAAGGAGTGGGAGAGGAGAGAGGCTGAAAATCAGACATCCTAAGTTTGAGTTCTGATTTCCTGTCTTGGGAGCTTGGTGACTTCAGGCAAGGTTTTTTGTCTCTCTTCACCTCCAAAATGGAACGAGTGCTAATAGTGCCTGTATATAGCAGGTCTATTGTGAGGACTAAATGAGTGTAAAGTGCTCAGCCCGAGCCCTGCGCACAGTAGGTGCTTATTTGCGGTCACTGTCACTGGGACTCCAGGCTCTGTGCAGAGCAGGAGTCGGGCCCCGGGCCGCCTCTGTCCTGCTGCGTGACCCAGGACAAGCCCCCTTCCCTGGCCTGTGTGCTTGAGCTCTCGCAGGGCCAATGCTGAGGGTCTGCAGAAGCAGGATGGGCCGAGGAGGTGAGAGTGGCTGTTTGTGTGGTCCCTGGGCCAGGGTGGGGAGGGGACAGGGATGCAGCCTGGTTCTGAGAGCAGAGTCATTAGCAGGAAGTCACAATCTGGCACCTTACGGAGCTGGGTGTCCTTTGAGTCCTGTTCCCCTGACTCCTGGTCCCCCTCCCCACCTCTGCTCACACAGGGGACTGGACGAAGACAGTCTTCGCTCCAGACTCCACTCCTGAGAGTTACCCGGCCTGCTTGGGCCAGGGCACTTGAAATTGGCTTCCCCGGAGAGGGTTGTCCTTAGGCCATTAGGAGCCAGGCTGTCCCCAGGGTCTTGGACAAAAGCTGCCTCCAGGCACAGATTTTTCCTGAAGGCAGGAATCTGACCTCCCCACATCAGACCTCCAGCAGCTTTCCATTGCCTCCAGGATAAAGTCCCAGCTGCTTGGCCTGGCATTCAAGGCCTTTCTCAACTGCTTTATTGCTTGTTGCTCCCCACATTTGTGCCCACAAACCCACTCATACCTTCCGTATTAGTCACGCTCTTTCTCACTCCTAACTCCCTCTCCCAATAGCTATCACTTCCCTGCTGAACTCTTATGCAGCCTCTGAACCCCAGCCAAAATGTCCCCTGTGACTTCTCAGACTACTTGGTCAAGGTTGTTTCCCCTCCTCCACCCCCTTAGCTCTTAGCTCATTTCCTCCCTGTGTCTTACAGACCTTGTCAGGTGCTTCTGCTCCCTGAGATCAGGGGTTTGTTTTCATCTTGGTGCATACCCAGCACTGGGGCTGGGCCAGGCACGGAGCAGAGGATCATTGTGTGTGTGGTGAACGTGGTGCCGAGGTTGGAGGTGTCTCAGGACCCTCTCACCAGAACAATCTGAAGGATTAGAATTGTAGGGTTGTTGGGGGAGCTCCCTAGGGTGGTCTCTACCCACCCTGTCCACTTCAGCAGCTGCCCAAGCCCTGGACAGCCCTGCACCATGAGCCCTGTGTCTGGGCAGCTTCCTGCCTGTAGGGCCAGGAAGGAGCTTAGAGCAGGGGTGGGATGAGACAGGATAGGGTGGTGGGAGGAAGAAGCCCCCGGAGTCAGGTGCCTGAGCCCCCAGCCTGCTGGGCCAGGACAGGACTGGCCACTGGGGGAGGAAGAGTCACTTCCTGGCTGTCCTTGTGAGTGGCGGATATGACTCGGTTCTGGAAGCAGAGCCAGAGAAAATGCCGGGGGCTTGGCCTTTCCTGCTTCCTGGTCAGCCCCGAATGGAAAGGCGGGCAGGTCCTGGGCTGGAGGGAACACCTGCAGGAATGGCATCCTGCACTGATGAGGCTGGCCAGTGAGTCAGGGTGGTGGTGACAGTCGACAAATACACATGATCAAGAAGAGGCAGTCATTGCCCTGGGCAGCTCTCCGCTACCCAGATGGGGACCTGACAGGCTAGTCTGCACGGATGAATGGGAATGAGGCCGGTGGGCAGCGTGCTTGGTGAAGTGCTTAGCTAGGCTGTGATGGGATTCTTGGTTAGCTGAAAGGCAAGGTATGGCCTTAAATGCCAGGCTCAGGGGTGTGGTGCTTCTTGCAGGAGCCAGTGGGGAGTGAAGCAAAGGTTTGCACCATGTGTGTGAAGCACTTCCTGGGTGCCTGCTACATGCTAGGCTCTTGCCATGCATTTTTCCATCACAAGACATTTTGCCAACGAGAAAACAGGTCCATAGAGATTTATTGACCTGTTTGCAGGGCAGGGGCCCCTGGTGAGGGAATGAGACAGTCACATGGGGTGGAAGCAGGTTGAACTGATGTCCTCGTGCTCTGTCTGTCCTGTGCCCACCAGCCTGCTCGCCTGGATTCTTTAAGTTTGAGGTGTCTGAGAGCCCCTGCTTGGAGTGCCCTGAGCACACGCTGCCATCCCCTGAGGGTGCCACCTCCTGCGAGTGTGAGGAAGGCTTCTTCCGGGCACCTCAGGACCCAATGTCGATGCCCTGCACACGTGAGTCTTGCAGTGGGTCAGGGTGGTGTGACTGAGGGTGACGTGTGACATATCCGCCTGGGTCCAGCAGAGCACTGACTCCTCCCGTCTGTGCAGGACCCCCCTCCGCCCCACACTACCTCACGGCCGTGGGCATGGGTGCCAAGGTGGAGCTGCGCTGGACACCCCCTCAGGACAGCGGGGGCCGTGAGGACATCGTCTACAGTGTCACCTGCGAACAGTGCTGGCCCGAGTCTGGGGAGTGTGGGCCATGTGAGGCTAGTGTGCGCTACTCAGAGCCTCCACACAGACTGACCCGCACCAGTGTGACAGTCAGCGACCTGGAGCCTCACATGAACTACACCTTTACTGTAGAGGCCCGCAACGGCGTCTCAGGCCTGGTGACCAGCCGCAGCTTCCGTACTGCCAGTGTCAGCATCAACCAGACAGGTGAGGTCTAGGGGTGGTAGCTGTGCCCTATGGGGCCTGCCCAGGTGGGGCTTAAGGAGGACGGCCACCTGGGGCTCGGGTGTGTTTAGAGAGACACAACAGAGTATGTGGTTAAAGGCACAGTCTCTAGAGCAAGCTTGTCCAACCCATGGGCCACAGGCAGCCCCAGCCGACATTGAATGCGGCCCAACACAAATTCGTAAATTTTCTTAAAACGTTATGAGATTATTTTTGCAACTTTTTTTTTCCTTTTTTTTTTTTTTTTTTTGAGACAGAGTCTCGCTCTGTTGCCCAGGCTGGAGTGCAGTGGCTCAATCTGAGCTCACTGCAATCTCTGCCTTCTGGGTTCAAGCGATTCTCCTGCTTTAGCCTCCCGAGTAGCTGGGATTACAGGCACGTGCTACCACACACAGCTAATTTTTTGTATTTTTAGTAGAGACGGGGTTTCATTATGTTGGCCAGGCTGGTCTTGATCGCCTGACCTCGTGATCTGCCTGCCTCAGCCTTCCAAAGTGCTGAGATTACAGGCATGAGACACTGTGCCCAGCCTGCAATTTTTATTTGTTTATTTTTTTTAGGTCATCACCTGTCGTTAGTGTTGGTGTATTTTATGTGTGGCCCAAGACAATTTTTCTTCCATTATGGCCCATAGAAGCTGAAAGATTGGACATCCCTGCTCTAGAGCTGCTTCTGAGCTCTGTGACTGTGGGCAAGTTACTTAACCTCTCTGGGCCTCAGTGTTCTCGCCTGTAAAGTGGGATAATAATTGAGGATTGAGGCCGGGCACAGTGGCTCACACCTGTAATCCCAGCACTTTAGGAGGCTGAGGTGGGCAGATCACCTGAGGTCGAGAGTTCGAAACCAGCCTGACCAACATGGAGTAAACCCCATCTCTACTAAAAATACAAAAAATTAGCCAAGTGTGGTGGTGCATGCCTGTAATCCCAGCTACTTGGGAGGCTGAGGCAGGAGAATCACTTGAACCTGGGGAGCAGAGGTTGCGGTGAGCTGAGATTGTACCATTGCACTCCAGCCTGGGCAACAAGAGCAAAACTCCATCTCAAAAAAAAAAAAAAAAAAAGCAAGCATGCAGCAAAAGTTAGTTCTTCTTTAAGAAAAAAAAAAAAAGATAGCATTCAGCAAAAGTTATTTCTTCTTCTTCTTTTTTTTTTTTTTTTGAGACAGAGTTTTGCTCTTGTTGCCCGGGCTGGAGTGCAATGGCACGATCTTGGTTCACCACAACCTCTGCCTCCTGGGTTCAAGCTATTCTCCTGTCTCAGCCTCCCGAGTAGCTGGGATTACAGGCATGCACCACCACACCCAGCTAATTTTGTATTTTTAGTAGAGACGGGGTTTCTCCATGTTGGTCAAGCTGGTCTCGAACTCCCAACCTCAGGTGATCCTCCTGCCTCAGCCTCCCACAGTGCTGGGATTACAGGTGTGAGCCACTGCGCCTGGCCTTTTATTATTATTATTATTTATTCTCTCGTAAATATGGGACGCCTCTGATGTGCCAGCCCCTGTGATGGGGACAGGGTGGAGGCCTGGGACTCAGGTCCTGTGCTCCGGAACTGGAAGTTTAGGATCCTAGACTGGGATCTAAAGAGCCTGGGAGCTGGGTGTGGTGACCACGCCCATAATTCCAGCATTTTGGGAGGTTGAGGCAGGAGGATTGCTTGAGCTCAGGCATTTGAGACCAGCATGGGCAGCATAGGGAGACCCCATCTCTACAAAACATACAAAAATTAGCCAGGTACAGTAGCACGTGTCTGTAGCCCCAGCTACTCAGGAAGCTGAGGCAGGAGTATCACTTGAGCACAGGAGTTCGAAGCTATAGTGAGCCGAGATCGTGCCACTGTACTCGAGCCTGGGTGACAGAGTGAGATCCTATCTCAAAAAAATAAAATAATCTGGGCTGTGGAGGATCTGGCTCCACGTCCACTTGTCCCCCACAAACCCTGCCTGCCCGCAGGCAGCTTCTTACCTGCTTCCCCCACTGCCTGTCCTGCCCAGAGCCCCCCAAGGTGAGACTGGAGGGCCGCAGCACCACCTCACTTAGCGTCTCCTGGAGCATCCCCCCGCCGCAGCAGAGCCGCGTGTGGAAGTACGAGGTCACCTACCGCAAGAAGGTAACTCCCAGAGGGTCGGGGCTGGCTCTAGCTGGGCCAAGAGCAGGGGACAGGCTGGTCACATAGATGCTCACCAAACCACCCAGCCATCTGAAGAAGCACTCTTCTGCAGATGGGGAAACTGAGACCTGGGGTCTGCCAGGGGGTTACATCTCCCTAGGCAGCACAGCAGAGATTTGTAGGAGAGAAGACATGGTGTCCTTGGAAGAGGCAGTCAGGGTGAGGACAGGGGCAGAATTTGGGGACCCCACACGGCTCGGTTTGAGTCCTGGGTCATGCATTTAGTGGTTCTGACCTTGAGTGAGTCACTTAATTCTGAGTCTCAGTTTCCTCCTCTGTAAGAAGGGCCTCAAGTTTGCTAACAAAGGCAAGCCACGTTGCTAGCTTAGGGTGGTCTCCAGCGGGCTGAGCCAAGGCCCCTACCCCGCCCTGCCCTCACTGCCTGCTCCTCTGCCTGCCACCCACCCACAGGGAGACTCCAACAGCTACAATGTACGCCGCACCGAGGGTTTCTCCGTGACCCTGGACGACCTGGCTCCGGACACCACCTACCTGGTCCAGGTGCAGGCACTGACGCAGGAGGGCCAGGGGGCCGGCAGCAAGGTGCACGAATTCCAGACGCTGTGTGAGTTGGGGGACCCTGGGCATGGACTGGGCCAGGGCCCAGAACCAAGCAATTGAGACATCTTGGGAAAGGAAGTGAATCAAAGAACTTAGAAATGCCCCTTTCTCGGTCAGCCCTTTGGGGACTGCCCGCAAGCCTGGGGACAGGGAAGCATGGAGAGCTGAGGGGTGGAGGAGCTGGGATGTGAATTCACGACAGTGATGTGAGGAAGTTCAAATCCGCATCGCAGAAAGAGCCAGAGCTTTGAGCCTCACACGCCTGCAGTACCACCTGTGAGACCTTTGGGAAGGCCTCCACTTGACCGTCTGTGAAATGGGACTAAGTACCCTCTGGAGCCTTCCCAAGTGCAAAGTGCAAGCACTCAGCACACAGTAGGGTCCCAGGTGTCTTGGTGCAGCGCGGGTGTTGCTGAGATTTGTGATTTGTCATCACCTGGTTTCTTCCACCAGCCCCGGAGGGATCTGGCTCCTTGGCGGTGATTGGCGGTGTGGCTGTCTGTGTGGTCCTGCTTCTGGTGCTGGCAGGAGCTGGCTTCTTTATCCACCGCAGGTTCGTCAGAGCCCACACCCTGGCTCCTCATGGGCTTGGGTGGGAAAATGGGGCAGGAACCTCCGTTTCCTCGTCTGAACCATGGGGCCCATAGGACGCTAGTCGAGTCTAATCCTTGCCTCTGGATGGTGCGAGGATATACGAGCTGGAGTGAAGTGCCTGGAACGCGGCGGGGCCAGGACACGGGCTTCATTACCTCTGCTCTTGTTTTTAGTGATGTGTCCGCACTTCCTTTGGACACGCAGGCAGGAAACCCCGAGTAGCTGTAATGGGAATGCCTTTGTCACCGCTGCTTAAGGGGCCATTCTGGGGCCTAGATCCTGGGGAGGGAGTCCTGGCTCGCTCCGCCCGCCTTCTCCACACCCTCGGCCCTGAGAGTGGAGCTTGGGCAGCAACAGCGGGGACTGGGCTGCGTTCTGAGCACCCCAGGTCCCCCTTGGACCAAAATAGGGTCAGGAGGCTTCCCTGGCCGGAGCAGACCTCACTGACCTCCCTGCATTTGGTTCCCTGTGGGGCTGTTTTAGGAGGAAGAACCTGCGCGCCCGCCAGTCCCCGGAGGACGTTTACTTCTCCAAGTCAGGTGAGATGCAGCCCCCGCTCCAGGCCCAGCCCTGCCGGCACCGTCCCCAGCTCTGTGGGGGAGGTGGGGGCAGCCAGGATGTTCCCAGGGCACTGAGGTTGGGCCACAGGCTTCCGTGGGCAGCTCTGAGGGGTCCATCCCCCACAGCCTCGTCCAAGTCTCTGAAGATCATGTGACCTTCTCTGACTCCAGGGCACCCCCCATGGGGCCCCTCCTGAGCTGCCTGTGACCCCACCTCTTCTCCTTCCAGAACAACTGAAACCCCTGAAGACATACGTGGACCCACACACATATGAGGACCCCAACCAAGCTGTGTTGAAGTTCACCACCGAGATCCATCCGTCCTGTGTCACTCGGCAGAAGGTGATCGGAGCAGGTGAGGTCAGCCCCCTGCTGAGGGGCCCTGAGGAGGCAGTGGTGGTGACACAGGGTGGGAGCCCTCGTGCCGGGCCTGACTGGGGCGCTCCCCTGACCCTGCCTGCCCACAGGAGAGTTTGGGGAGGTGTACAAGGGCACGCTGAAGACGTCCTCGGGGAAGAAGGAGGTGCCCGTGGCCATCAAGACGCTGAAAGCCGGCTACACAGAGAAGCAGCGAGTGGACTTCCTCGGTGAGGCCGGCATCATGGGCCAGTTCAGCCATCACAACATCATCCGCCTGGAGGGCGTCGTCTCCAAATGTGAGGCTTGGGGCCTGCCCACATGGGGTGGAGAGGGACCACCTAGCAGAGGCTCTGTCTGTGACTGTGCCCACCTCTTCTATACCTGTGCCCACCTTCCCCCCATACCTGCACCCACCTCATCCACACCTGTGCCCACCTCTCCCCATACCTGCACCCACCTCCCCTACACCTGTGCCCACCTCTCCCCATACCTGTACCCACCTCCTCTATACCTGTGCCCACCTCTCCCCATACCTGCACCCACCTCCTCTACACCTGTGCCCACCTCTCCCCATACCTGCACCCATCTCCTCTACACCTGTGCCCACCTCTCCCCATACCTGCACCCATCTCCTCCCCAACACCTGTGCCCACCTTCCCCCATACCTGCACCCACCTCCTCTATACCTGCACCCACCTCCCCAATACCTGAGCCCACCTCTCCCCATACCTGTGCCCACTCCTCCACCTGTGCCCACCTCTCCCCATACCTGTACCCACCTCCTCTACACCTGTGCCCACCTGTCCCTGATACCTGCACCCACCTCCTCCCCAACACCTGTGCCCACCTCTCCCCATACCTGTGCCCACTCCTCCACCCATGTTCATCTTTCCCCACACCTGTGCCCTCCTCTCCCCATACCTGTACCCACCCTTCCCCACACCTGTTCCCACCTCTCTCCACACGTGTGCCCACCTCTCCTACACCTGTGCCCACCTTGCCCCATACCTGTGCCCACCTCTCCCACACGCCCGGGCGCACTTACCTCTTGCCTGTACCCACCTCTCCCACATGCCCGGGTGCACTTACCTCTTGCCTGTACCCACCTCTCCCCCACGCCCGGGCCCACTTACCTCTTGCCTGTGCCCACCTCTCCCACACGCCTGGACCCACTTACCTCTCACCTGTGCCCCCCCCACAGACAAGCCCATGATGATCATCACTGAGTTCATGGAGAACGGGGCCCTGGACAAGTTCCTTCGGGTAAGAATATGGGTTGTGGGGCGGGCATGCCTGGCCATGGGGCCTGGGGCTGGCCTGGCAGTTTCAGGGCTGGCCTGCAGCTGAGTGCCCATGCTCCGGCAGGAGAAGGATGGTGAGTTCAGCGTGCTGCAGCTGGTGGGCATGCTGCGGGGCATCGCAGCTGGCATGAAGTACCTGGCCAACATGAACTATGTGCACCGTGACCTGGCTGCCCGAAACATCCTTGTCAACAGCAACCTGGTCTGCAAGGTGTCTGACTTTGGCCTGTCTCGCGTGCTGGAGGACGACCCTGAGGCCACCTACACCACCAGTGTGAGTTGGGGAAGGGGACCTCAAGGGAGAAGCAGCCTTCGCCCTGCCTAGTGTCCTCTCGCCTGCATGCCTGGGCATGGGCTTCAGGAGGTGGAACACCTGTAGGAGTCCAGGGAGGGGTCGTGGGGCCTGGTTGCAATGGTCCTGGGGCCAGCCAGAGGGGATAGTGGTGACTGGGCCTGGGTTCCCTGCAGGGTGGCAAGATCCCGATCCGTTGGACGGCTCCAGAGGCCATTTCCTACCGCAAGTTCACCTCTGCCAGCGACGTGTGGAGCTTTGGCATTGTCATGTGGGAGGTGATGACCTATGGCGAGCGGCCCTACTGGGAGCTGTCCAACCATGAGGTGGGTGCCCTTACCTTCCCCAGACCTGCCCAGACCTGAATTCAAGCCTTTACTCATCTCAAACTCCAGGGGCTGGGCAGAGGAGAGTTTAGACAAACCTCCTTAGGTTTGCTCCATAAATGTTTCTTTTTTTTTTTTCTGGAGACAGAGTTTTGCTCATGTCACCCAGGCTGGAGTGTAATGGCATGATCTCGGCTCACTGCAACCTCCACCTCCCAGGTTCAAGCAATTCTCCTGCCTCAGCCTCCCGAGTATCTGGGATTACAGGCATGCGCCACCACACCCAGCTAATTTTTGTATTTTTAGTAGAGATGGGGTTTCACTATGTTGGCCAGGCTGGTCTCTATCTCCTCACCTCAAGTGATCCACCCGCCTGCACCTCCCAAAGTGCTGGGATTACAGGTGTAAGCCACTGCACCCAGCCCCGTAAATATTTCTTGAGGATCCAGGAAATATTCCAGGCCTTGTGCTCGGTTCCAGGAGCTGGGTCAGAGAGTACAGAGATGAAACAAGGAGTAGAGTGTGCGTGTGTATCTGTGTGTCAATGCGTGTGTGTGCATCCATGTGTGTGCACATGTGCATGCATGCATGTGTGTGTGTGTCTGTGTGCTTGGTGCCTTACTCAGCCTGGTGACCTGGGAAGCTTCTCAGAAGAGGTCACGTCTCTGCCAAGACCAAGGGCACTATAAGGCAGCCAGATGAAGAGAAGGAGGAGAAGAGAGATGGGAGGGAGGCTGGGCTGAGGGCACACAGTGTGGCTGCTACCTGGTGCTCTGTGAGGGAGCAGGGTCCCTTCTAGCTGGGAGCCATTAGGATTACTGGCACATGCCTGTAATCCTAGCACTTTGGGAGGCTGAGGCAGGAGTATCACTTGAGCTCAGGAATTCGAGACCATCCTGGACAACATGATGAAACCCCACCTGCACAAAAAATTTAAAAATTAGCCAAGCGTGGTGGCACGTGCCTGTAGTCTCAGCTACTCAGGAGGCAGAGGTGGGAGGATCACTTGAGCCCAGGAGGCTGAGGCTGCCGTGAGGTTTGATAGTGCCACTGCACTCTAGCCTGGGTGACAGACTGAGACCCTGTCTCAGTCAAAAAAAAAAAAAAGAAAAGTCCCTTCCAGTGAACTCTGGCCACAGCCTCTTAGGCATTTGCCCTTTGGGCAGCTCTGAAGGTTGGGTGTCAGCTCAAGAAAGACCCTTCCCATCTGTTTCTGGGATGTTCCTGTTTCCCTTCCCTCCGCTGCGCACTTCCGTAGGCTGGAGGCTGTATAGGGTTTCAGTGGCTTTCTGCAACAGCGCCCCTGACCTTCATGCCCCTCCAGGTGATGAAAGCAATCAATGATGGCTTCCGGCTCCCCACGCCCATGGACTGCCCCTCCGCCATCTACCAGCTCATGATGCAGTGCTGGCAGCAGGAGCGTGCCCGCCGCCCCAAGTTTGCTGACATCGTCAGCATCCTGGACAAGCTCATCCGTGCCCCTGACTCCCTCAAGACCCTGGCTGACTTCGACCCCCGGTAAGTTCTGTGCCCTCTGCCTATGATGACCCCAATTTCCCTTCTGCAGACTCCTGAACCACTTCGGTAGAGTGGCCACCCAGGGGAAGTTGAGGGGTGCTGGGGGCTCAGAGGTTATGTGTGGACTTGACTTAGACTGGACACAATGACCCCGGAAATCCTAATAGGAGCAACCAGCTTATGTTGAGGGTGCAGGGCACTGTGTGAACAGTTAATATCTTTTCATTCATTTAAACAACGTACGAATTGAGTCCTCTTCTACAAAATTATCCTTATTTTGTAGAAGAGGAAACTGAGACACAGGGTCATTGAATATCTTACATGGCTGGAAGTGGTCAGGCTGGGATTGTGACCTCGGGATCCGGAATCTCTGCTCGTAGCGTTTTTTGATCTGGTAGTTATTGGTGGTGGTCCTGTTAGTAGGCATGGAGGGGCAGCAGTAGTTACAGACGCTGAGCGCTCCCAACATGCCAGGAGGTCTCATTGAACCCTACGTGACTGGGCTTCCCCGTTGCCCAGATAAGGAAACTGAGGCACGGGGCAGCTGAGTCAATCATCCAGGTTAGGGAGCAGCAGGCGCGGGGCCCAGGGTGGACTGGGTGCTGCAGCCCCTCACCTGCAGTGCTTCCGGTTGCAGGGTGTCTATCCGGCTCCCCAGCACGAGTGGCTCGGAGGGGGTGCCCTTCCGCACGGTGTCTGAGTGGCTGGAGTCCATCAAGATGCAGCAGTATACGGAGCACTTCATGGCGGCCGGCTACACTGCCATCGAGAAGGTGGTGCAGATGACCAACGAGTGAGTCAGGCCCCTTCCTGTTCCCCCACCTCCCCTGCTGCCTCCCACTCCAGAGGCTGCCTCCACGCCCCCCAGCCCTCTTCCCTGCCCCTCAATGCTCCTCTCTTCGTTCTTTCTCTTCTGGTAAGAGGCTCCTTGGAAGGCAAGGGCAGAACTCCGCCAGCAGCTGGCAGTTCTGGGCGCCCACTCAGCTCCCTCCTCTTCCTACATCCTTTACCAGAGTGGGGAAATAATAGTAACCGTAATCATAATGGTAACTACTGTTTACTGAGGGCTGTGTGCCGTCTCTGCTTGAGCACTTTGAATGAGAACCCAGCAGGGTGAGTCCTGTTAGTTAACAGGTAAGAAACAGGTGCAGGTGAGAAACAGGTGCAGAGAAGTGCAGTGACCCTCCCAGGGTCCCACAGCCACCAGGGGCAGAGCAGGATTCCAGCCCCGGTCAGTTGGGGTCCCAGAGCACGGGGATCAGAGAGGTCACTGGTAGACAAACTGGCTGAGATGTTACCGGCTTGCCTAAGGTCACACAGCCAGCTTGGGGCAGTCTTCTCCAAGATGCCCTGCTTGCTGCCCAGGGGAGAGTTGAATCCCTGGCCTACCCCTGGCACCTCTCTTCATTTGGTTGGCTCTCAGCCTGCAGTCCTACCTGCTGAGAAGTGCCCCTTACTCCCTGCTGGCCCTGGGTTTGGCCCTTTGTCGAGCTGCCCCATGGGAGCTCTTCTCTCCTTCCCAGCTCCAGCACTGAGACTTTTCCCGGCATGGCCTTGGCACAGACACCTCCTCCTGTCCCAGGAGGGGGAAGACACTATCCTCTTAGCCTTTTGTGCCTCTAAAAATAGTGGCGGGTTTCAACAACCCAGCTTGTGCATGGCCCAAGGTCATGGCGGGAGCAGTCCCCGAGGCTGGGAGGTTTTGGGAACTATATGGATGGGATGACCTGGGCCTCCCATGGTTCTGGGTCACAGAAGTTCTGGGATTTGAGCCTGTTCATGAACATTCTCTAGGGCCTTTGGAAACTGCTCAGCTGGGCTTCCAACCTGCTAGCCAAGGCCACAGTCCCTCTCAGGGGACAGTCCGTGATGGGAAGCAGGCAGGGACAGAGCTGACCAGAGGGAAGCAGGGAGACGTAGGGAGGAGAGATGGATCACAGGATATCTTTTGCTGCTGACCAGCGCAGCAGGGCCACAGACTTGGGCTCTGCACACATGCCTGGGTTCATCTGCCGCTTCCTAGTGGGTAACCTTGATCAAGTTTGATGGGATTGCATGGGTGCAGTGCAGATGACACGCCTGGTATGCAGTAGGTGCTAAATCCTTGTTGCTCTCCTCTTTTCCTCCACTCCCTTGCTTTCCTCCTCTAGTGCTGTGCAAATGACCCCTCCTTTTCTCCTTTTCCCTGGGAGCATCCACAAGACCCTTTGCCCCTTCAGGGGCTCCCACCAAGGACAACACAGCCTCTGTTCTGGTGACCAGAGCTGAGGGCAAGGAGAAGTGCTTATAGGAAACACATGTTCTTAGAGGCTTCCCTAAATAGCTCGGGGTGCTCCTCGCCAATTCCTTTCCCACAAGCAGGGATGGGGCGGTCTTGGATGGATGGAGGCTGTGTGTGTGTGAGTGCTGCAGTGTGTGTGTGTGAGTGCTGCAGTGTGTGTGTGTGAGTGCTGCAGTGTGTGTGAGTGCTGCAGTGTGTGTGTGAGTGCTGCTGTGTGTGTGTGTGAGTGCAGTGTGTGTGTGAGTGCTGCAGTGTGTGTGTGAGTGCTGCAGTGTGTGTGAGTGCTGCAGTGTGTGTGTGAGTGCTGCAGTGTGTGTGAGTGCTGCAGTGTGTGTGAGTGCTGCAGTGTGTGTGTGTGAGTGCTGCAGTGTGTGTGAGTGCTGCAGTGTGTGTGTGTGAGTGCTGCAGTGTGTGTGAGTGCTGCAGTGTGTGTGTGAGTGCTGCAGTGTGTGTGAGTGCTGCAGTGTGTGTGTGTGAGTGCTGCAGTGTGTGTGAGTGCTGCAGTGTGTGTGTGAGTGCTGCAGTGTGTGTGTGTGAGTGCAGTGTGTGTGTGAGTGCTACAGTGTGTGTGAGTGCTGCAGTGTGTGTGTGAGTGCTGCAGTGTGTGTGTGTGAGTGCTGCAGTGTGTGTGTGTGTGAGTGCTGCAGTGTGTGTGAGTGCTGCTGTGTGTGTGAGTGCTGCAGTGTGCGTTGTTGTGAAAGGGCCTGGATAAAGGCAGGAAGTCATTTGCTCTCCCCGCCACCAGCCGCTAGTGCTCAGAGCTGGGGCCCGCAGGCCTCCTCCTTCTCCTCTGTCTCTTTTCAAATAAATGGGGATCTCAAAGGACTTTTTAAAACCTGAAGTCTTGGTCTACACACGCCATGGGTCCCAATGGGAGGCTTCGAGCTGGTTGCAGGGGAATGTGTGCCTTTCCCATTGGGATCAGGATTTAGGCTTCAGTGTCCTATCCCCTCCCCTTCTGAACCTCCTGCCTCCTTGAGTCCCTCCCAGGGGACCAGCTGCCTGTTCCCCTGGGGTCCCACAGCCACTGTCTCTTCTCCATTTGTGCTATTTTGGAGTCAGTTGGGTTTCTAGCTAGACTAGTGGTCCCAGATGTTTTGTGAGCAGCTGATGAAAGGGGTGGATGTTGCACCCCGGAAAAATAGCCCAATCCCAGGCTCTGTCTAGAGCTGGGACTACAGCATCCGCATCCTGTTGGGGGTCGAGGGCACAGGTTGTAGATCTTAGGGTCTCCAGTGTCCTTGGCATAGGCTTGGCATGAAGGAATGCTTGCTGAATGAATGAATGATCTGACGCGTGAGGCTCCAGGAGCCATTTCTCACTCCCGTCTCCCTGCACCCAGGGCCAGAACACAGTAGGAACTCACTGAGTATATGGCCTTGGAGTTTTCTACACAGGGCTTCAGAAGCAAACTGTGTTCCCGTCCTGTGAGATTAACCACTGCTGTTTGCAAGAGGGACCAGAGGTGGCCCAGCAATGGCGCAATCTCTGCTAAAGCATTCATTCGCTCCTTCATTCATGCAGCAGACACTCCTTGGGGACCTACTATGTGCCAGGTCTATCCTGGACCCTGGGCAGGGGTGGGGGCGGGAGCAGGGGCTGTGGGGCTGATGGGCCCAGATGACGAGGTCTCAGCACTTGTCCTCCTGGAGCTTACAACCCACTGGTTCTTAAACCGGATGTCAGGTTTCTTCTGGGATTCAACCAAATGCAGACTCCCTGCTCCACCTGCGGAACTGCAAATCTGGGGTCGGGCCAGGGTCCTGTCTCCTTCTCCGTGGTCTGAGCGCTTGTCCAGGGGCCATAATTCAAGACCTTCACGTGTGTGGGAAAATGCTGCTTTTTCAGCACCTCCAACTATATAGGTTATAAACGTCCCGTGCGGGTAGCATAGGAAGTTCTCCCAAATGTCCCGGCCTTCCTGCTGCTGAGGGAGCATCAGCCTCTGCTGGAGGTCCCGGAGTCCCCCCCACTCACCTGGGTCTGCCCTTCCCTGCTCTGTGCCTGTCCCGGGGCTCCCGGAGCCTGTGGGAAAGTCATGTCTGCAGAACTGCAACTAGAATCTTGCATCATATAATTAGCTCCCTTTACAGCCAAAAGACGGCCTGTAAAAACCTGGGTGTTTTCATGGGTTTGGGCTAGTGGGTGAGGACGGTGGAGGAGAAAACTCCCAAAGTGAGTAATAAATGCCCTCCTCACAGGTTCCTGGGAGCATAAGTGATTTCATGAGGGGACGGAGGGGCATGGAAGGGGGGCCCAGGAGAGTGTATACCCTGTGGGGGTGGGAAAGCAGGGCTGTGGGCTCCTGGGCACATCTGTCCACCTGGAACTGATGCTGCCTTCCCCTTCAGCCACTGCTTTTGAGGCCTCTCGCCCTCCAGATGGACAGTAGCTCCCACTTTACACGGGAGGAGACTGAGGTTCCCCCAAGGGAAGACATCTTCCTAGTCACTGGATCTGGTGACCTGCAAGCTTCACCCATGGAGACTCGCAGAGTTGAACCCTTCAAGTATTTCCCGAGTCCTTCCTTCATGACCAGCAGTGGGAACTCGGAAGGAGTGAGGGAGAAATGAGGCAGCGGGTGGGAAGAGACCTTGGGCAGAGAGGCTTTGAGCGACATCCCTAGAGAGTTCCTGGGAAGGAGGCCTGAGCTGGGGGCACTGGGGACAGACTGGGGGTGAGGGGAGGGGAGGCATTTGTTCATAGCTGGTTTGATTCCCAGCTCTTCCACCTCCTAGCTGTGTGACCTTGGACAAGTCACTTCACCTCTCTGACCTCAGTTCTTTAATCTGCAAAATGGGGATGAAAAGAGCACCTGCCTCACAGATAATTCAGAAGATTTGATTTATTTTTATTTTTTAAAGCATCGTACAGAGTTGAGGCTTCTGTCGTTTTCCTAACTTTGTTGATGGTGGGCCACCTTGGCAAGCTTCTAGGCTGTGGCTTCTTCTCCCAGGCCTACCTAACCAGAGCTCTCTTGCCCTACAGGTCCCCAAGGCCCCCTCTCCACCCTCCTCCTCTGCTTCCCTCCACTCCCCTCCCCTGCTGCCCACCGAGTCCTGTCCCTGCCCAGCCCGGCCCCCTCCCCTGCTCTAGCCCCTAACTCTCCCTCTCTCCCTCCGGGCCCACAGTGACATCAAGAGGATTGGGGTGCGGCTGCCCGGCCACCAGAAGCGCATCGCCTACAGCCTGCTGGGACTCAAGGACCAGGTGAACACGGTGGGGATCCCCATCTGAGCCTCGACAGGGCCTGGAGCCCCATCGGCCAAGAATACTTGAAGACACAGAGTGGCCTCCTGCTGTGCCATGCTGGGCCACTGGGGACCTTATTTATTTCTAGTTCTTTCCTACTGATACCCCCTGCAACTTCTGCTGAGGGGTCTCGGATGACACCGTGGCCTGAACTGAGATGACCGTGGATGCTGGGCCGGGCCCTCTTTCCCTGCGAGGCACACACAGCCGAGCACTTAGCAGGCACCGCCACGCCCCAGCATCCCTGGAGCAGGAGCCCCGCCACAGCCTTCGGACAGACAGAGGATATTCCCAAGCCGACCTCCCCTTCGTCTTCTCCCACATGAGGCCATCTCAGGAGATGGGGGGCTTGGCCCAGTGCCAAGTGAACAGGGTACCTCAAGCTCCATTTTCTCACACTAAGAGGGCAGACCGTGAACTTGACTGGGCGAGACCCAAAGTGGTCCCCGTCCCTCTAGTGCCTTCTTTAGACATTCGGGCCCCGTCCTCATCCCTGACTGGCCAAACCCTTGCTTTCCTGGGCCTTTGCAAGATGCTTGGTTGTGTTGAGGTTTTAAAATATATATTTTGTACTTTGTGGAGAGAATGTGTGTGTGTGGCAGGGGCTCCCGTCAGGGCTGCGGACAGAGGGTGGCCTGTGTCAAACATTCCTGAGCTGGGGACCCGGGGGCCGGTGCTGCAGGAGCGTCCTGCCCATGCCCCAGTCGGCCCCATCTCTCATCCCCGTAGATAGCAGGTTCTATTCTGTCAGTGTTAATAATTTTGTTTTGTTGAAAATTTTTTTCGAATCTTAATTTATTATTTTTTTTATATTTATTGTTAGAAAATGACTTATTTCTGCTCTGGAATAAAGTTGCAGATGATTCAAACTGATCTTGGCTCTCAGTCTTGGGAAAAGCAGTGGGGTCTCAGAGCTTCCTGGGTGGGAGTTGAGGGGTTGAGAGTTCCCCCCAAACACCAAGTGTTTAAACAGAGATTCGTGCACAAGGCAGACACATCACTTAACCCTGGGAGCAGGGGTGGGTGGGAGGTGGGCAGGGGGCCAGGAAGCAGGTTCTGCCGAGCCCAGCCTCCATGCCAGCAGGCCCCAATCACCTTTGATCTCCAGGCTGCTCAGTCTTCTGGAGGATTGGGAGGTAGGAGAAAGCAAGAGCCGCCATCAGCTTCCCTCCCACGGCTGCCCGGAGCTGTCGAAATAGATCCTTCAACCATCCACGTATGGCTCTGAGGTTTACACAAGCTTTTCACAGGTTTCGGCTTGTTGGAACCTCAACACTTTGTTATGAGTTTTGTGGGCGGCCCCATTTCACAGAAAAGGAAAATCAAGCTGCAGCCCAGCAACTGGACTTGCTCAAGGCTACACAGCAAGTTAGGGGCAGAGGCCAGAATTGAAAACAGGGTCAGAAATCTCAGTGGGATGCTTTTCTCTTAGATGAGGAAATGGAGTCTCAGAGACACGCAGCGACTTGCCCAAAGTCACACAGCAGTCTCAAGAAAAGTCAGAGTTCTAATTTTTCTTTTTTTTTTTTTCTTTTTTGTTTTTGAGACGGAGTCTCACTCTGTCGCCAGGCTGGAGTGCAGTGGCGCGATCTTGGCTTGCTACAACCTCCGCCTCCCGGGTTCAAGCGATTCTCCTGCCTCAGCCTCCCGAGTAGCTGGAACTTTAGGCACGTGCCACCACACCCAGCTAATTTTTGTATTTTTAGTAGAGACGGGGTTTCACCGCATTGGCCAGGATGGTCTCGATCTCTTGACCTTGTGATCTACCCACCTCTGCCTCCCAAAATGCTAAGATTACAGGCGTGAGCCACTGCGCCCGGCACCAGTGTCCTAATTTCAAACCTGAGCCTTCTCCACTCTACCGGGTTGCAGCCCTGCAGGTCAGAGGTCATTCATATCGGGGGTTAGTTAGGAAGGTGTCAAACACAGGTCACCAGGAACGTAACCAGGGAGCAGAGATGATCTGAGGCCCAGGAGGAAGACTTCCTGGAGGAGGTGGTCCCAGAGCGGAGACCTCAGGGACTACTAGGAGTTAACCAGCGAAGCCAAGGGAGGGTGATGCAGAGTGAGGCGCGGGGGCGTGAAACCGCATGGTTGTGCAAGGGAACCACAAGCAATTTGGTATTATTAAGGCATGACGTGAGGTGCTGGAGAGGTCTCTAGGGCCTTGTAAAGCAGGCCCAGGAGTGGAGATTTCAAGCTGAGAGCAATAAGGAGTCATTGAAGGTTTCAAGCAGGGAGTGGCATGATTGTTGTCACTGGTAGAGGCAGGTCTGGAACCCAGAGCTCCTGACTCTCAGCCTGGAGCTTTGGGGAGATACAGGAGAGGCGCTGGCGAAGTCGGAAGGGTGTTCGGCCTGCCCTGGGGTCTCAAGGCTGGCACGCTCTGCCCTGACCCCTGCTGCTGCAGGAGAGCTGCTTCCCTCTGGGTCTTGGTCCACTGGGCATCCATGAGACATCTGACCGCCTGTGTCAGGTGTGGCTGGGGTTGGGTGAGCCATGGGAGTGCAGGGAGCACCTGGCTGGGCCTTCCTCCCATTAGTGTTGGGCCACCTGAGTGTACTGGGCATGATGGCTGAGTCAGGCCTTCCTGGTGCCTGACCCTGGCCTGGCCTGACCCAGGTGGCCACAGTAGCTCTGTGGCTGGGCTATGGCTACTATCGCTACCACTGACAAAGCTGTTGGCCCAGCAGGGAGTAAGCCTGCAACTTGCAAACCCACAGCAATCTGGGCTATGAGGGCACGTCAAGACCAGGCCTGAGTCCCATTCCCAAAGCAACTCGGCCATGGCCCTGCTGATGAGCAGGAATGAACACAGGAAGTGGCTCAGCATTGGGGGAGGTGGCCTCGTGTGCTCTCTCCCTTGAAGTCCTGGACATAAGGCCCTTCCAAGGGCATGTGAGAACGCATAAACCTGTGGGCCACAGACAGGTCCGATGCTCAAAATCCAGTAAGGAGCTGTCTGCAGTCTCCAATGGACCCTGCGATTGGCAGGAGGGGAAACTTTATTTTTAAATGAAAGCAAATCCAGAGCTGTCTCCTAGAGGCCTAAATGCAGGAACAGCCCTGTAGCAATAAGAATACCCAGCCCACAGATCTTGGTTCCTGAAAACCATTCTCCAATAAAAGGAACCAGGGCTCCTTACAGAAATGGCTGATTCTGGGGCTGAAGCAGGGAAAATACAAGATGAGCCGGGAGCATCTTGGAGCATCAGAGCGTAAAGAAGCGCTCAAAAATAAACAGGTGGGGCTGTGCCAGAGAGACACAGGAGCCAGCCCTAAAGAACTCCCAAGGGCCAAACCTAGAACAAGCTGAGAAACAAAACGATGAGGTATTAGATTAAATCCGAAGTCGAAAATAAATATTCACGAGTCCATACTGACATAAATACATGATTAAAGGCTGGGTGCAGTGGCTCACGCCTATAATCCCAGCACTTTGAGAGGCTGAGGTGGGTAGATCGCTTGAGCTCAGGAGTTTGAGATCGGCTTGGCCAAGATGGCGAAACCCCATCTCTCTCAAAAGCACAAAAAATTAACCAGGCATGGTGGCACGCGCCTATGGTCCCAGCTACTCAGGAGGCTGAGACAGGAGGATCGCCTGAGCCCGGGAGGTAGAGGTTGCAGTGAGCCGAGATTGTGCCACTGCACTTCAGCCTGGGCAACAGAATGAGATCTCATTTAAAAAAAAAAAAAAGCTTGAATAAATAAATAAGTCGGCGGAGACTAGACAAATCTTCCTTACAGATGAATTTCAAAGGGGTGGATTCTTTTCCCTCTAGTGAGTAAAGCTTACTTCCCCACTGCCTGGACTGTGGACTGGACACCCTTCCAAAGAAAGGCAGTAGGGAAGTATAGAAGGGGTTAAAAAAAATAAGAAAGAAAACGAAAAGTAACTTTACAGTGGAGAAACCTGGCAAACACCACCGTAACCAAGTGATCAAAGTTAACATCATCAGAGAAAAAACAAACAAACCACTCAGAGCAGAAGGAACATTGAGCTTGAATTGAAGATCAGGTATCAGCAAACACTTACACAAGGCTTTCTGGGCACCACCCACTGTTCTAAGCACTTAGCCTGTGCTTACTTATTTAATTCTTCCAACAGTCCTTCAAGGTAGATATTATTAATATCCCATTTTACAGATTTGAACACTGAGGGGAGGGAGGTTACATAACTGGCCAGAGACGTCCTCTCCCCTCTCTGCCATCATGGACACTTCCCTAGATAAGGTCTGAGAAGCACTGGATCTGGGGAAACTGAGGCACCATAACCTGCCCATGGTCTCCAAATGCCACCACATCCCACACCCCAGGTATCCAGATGGTTTGCTCCTCTGTCCCTTCTCTCAGTGGCCATTTCTTGCTCTATGCCAGGCTGGGGTCCACAAAGAAGGATAAGGCCTCTGTCTGCCCTCATGGGACTCTTGGTCTGGTGGGGGCAGCAATGGTAATACAGTAGGACCCAGGCTAAGAAGGGGCAGAGCTGGGTGTTATAGGAGCCAGAGGTTAGGGCGGAGGGGCACCTGACCCAGCCTAGGAAGTCCAGGCAGGCTGCCTGGAGGAGAAGCCATCCAAGCTGAGGTCAAGGTCAAGTGGGAGTCCACCAGATGGGGGAAGAAGTGTCCCAGAAGAGCCTGGCTCTGACTCCAGACCTCTGTGGGTGGGGCTTGAGTCTCCCCTCCAACATCTGGGTCCCATTTGACCAAGACAAGCTTCCTCCACCTCCTAGGCCACTGTAACCCCTGGCTGTTGTGTCAGGAGCAGCGTAGGACAGCAACCATGCCCTCATTCCCACCCTGACCAAAACCTTCATTTCCGATTTTAGTTTTCTCTGCTGAGAAGTGGGCCTGCAGCCCTTTCTGGGCTCTGAGCTGCAGGAACCTTGGCAGGCCTTTGATGTATCCAGCAAAGCCCAGAAGGAGGTGAAAGGCAGTGGTGATGGGGGCATTGGGTAGGGAGGTAGGTGCCTGCTTTCTCTGCTGCTCCCAGTCTGCATGGCAAGTTAAAACCATGTCACCAGGCACCAGCCTGAGATTTCCTAATTCATTAGCAAATTCTGGAGGGACAGGCAAGCTCTCTGCTCGCCTCCCCATTCACACTTCCTCAGCTCCAGCTGCAGCCCAGGGCCTGGGATGGGGCCTGGGGCACCATAGATGCTACTAGAACAGGGGGCAAATGAATGTGTGCGGGAAGTGCTTGAGTCCTTAGCTCGGGCCCTCTGTGCCTTCACCCATTCTGTGCATCGAGCCTCCATCGCCCCTCCCCAGAACTATGTCTGGTGCCCAGTAGGCCCTCAATAAACATTTGTTCAATAAACAAATGAACTGGGGGGACAAGAACTGGGCTTTTGAGATCCAAGGGCCCTGTGGAGCCGGATATGAGTTCTGGGAACACGGTAAGTGCTGTGCAATGGTCCTGGGCTCCCTCTGGCTGGCCAGGAGGAACCTCAAAAGCCGGTAAGGAGAAGCAGTTGAGTGTTTCTGAACACCTGCCATTGTAGGTGGTGGGTGTTCCTTTAGCATTGCCTGTTCCTAGAGGAGTTGCTAACGACTTAGGAAATCTAAGGCTAGTGCCTGGCGACACGGTTTTAGCTTGCCACGGTGCCAGTGACTCTGCCATGGCAGTGCCCAGTCCAAGACCCACACTGTCTTATGCAAGGGTCACAGTGACCCTGAGAGGTATACATTTATCCCCATTTTGGGGACCCTAAGGCTCAGCGAGGTTACAGTATTCAGACCAAGTTCCCACAGCTAGGAGGTGACAGAGCGGCACAGGAGACAAGAAGCTCATCCCACTGCCTGCTGCTCGGCGACACTTGGGGACCTTGGGCTTCTTTTTAGGAAATGGCAAAGATCCTTGGACTGGAAAGG